ATACAAAGTAGCCTTGAGCACAGCCATGTTCCTGCTCTCCCTGGCCCAGGAGAAGGGGAGCAGTGGGGGTCTGATGGGTTGAGGCCCCTCACCAAAAGAGTTCTTGGCTTTGCACGAGAAAGAATTCAAGAGCAAGCCATTTAGAGAAAGAGACAAAGATTAAGTGTAGAAGTAAGAAAGGAGCTACTTTACAGAGTATGGGGAAGTGGACCCCACCCCTGCCCGCCACCACTGTTTTGCCTCCAACAAGGGGTTTTATACGTTTTTAAAAATTAGCTGTGCAGGGAGGGGCTTACTCTTTTTAACTTTGGGTTTATCATTTCCATTGGGTGGTTTTTCCATTGCTTAGGGTTGCAGAATTACCCACGGGGAGCAGTGGTAAGAATGTCCAAACTGTGGCTTTTACTGCCAGAGGGAGAGGGGTCTTGTGATTCTTTTTATGACCTGCTGACTTTTAGGTTAAGGGTCAGCCTAAATCCAAAATGACTTGACTTCGATCAACTTGCCCCCCGAGCCTCCCTTGCCTCCTGCCTCACGGTGATTCAAAGACAACCCTGGTAGGACATCGTGATACGTTCACAAGAGTAATTTTGCCCTTTTGGTGTCTCATGGGGAGCTTTACTTTCCTCCGGGAGAGAATCTCAGCAGCCAAGGGCCTGCCCTGGTGGGCCTGCCTCGTCCCTGTTGGCGGTAGCCACCTCTTGGGACCCCTGATGGCAGGAGCCCCTTTGTGTTACACGTGTTTGCACCTGTGCATCTGCAAGGCCGTTGTCACGGGACAGACAAAAGTAGGCCCTAAACAGGAATTAGCTAAAAATTTCCTTTTCGTTTCATTAAATCACATGGTTTGGCCAGCAAGCCCAGAGGTTTTTAGAGAAACACTGCATTCCATGAAAGAAACAACGGCAACAAAGAAACAAAAATTTCTAACTTTGCCTCCAAGAACTTAGCCAGAATTGTCTTTTCTCACCCATCCAGCTGGAAACCCACGGTGCTGCCTGGCCCAGAGCCACAATAACTGCCTATCGGGGCGGGGGGGGGGGGCCTCTGGGTGACTGCCAGAGCCCTTTGATTCAAGGCTTTGGGCTTTGATGTCAGGTTATAGTTCTGCCAAGTTGTGTGACCCTGAGTAATCTAGTTAACATCACTGAGCCTCCGTAGCCTCAGCTGTAAAAAGGCAGTAAAAACAGGGTTGGTAGGAGCACCTGGGTGGCTCAGTCGGTTAAGCCTCTGCCTTCAGCTCAGGTCATGATCCCAGGGTCCTGAGATCCAGCCCCACATTGTGGGGGGGGGTCCCTGCTCAGTGGGGAGTCTGCTTCTCCCTCTCCCTCTGTCCCTCCCCCCGGCTTGTGCTCTCTCGCGCGCCCTCTCTCTCTCTCTGAAATAAAATCTTAAAAAACAAAAAAAACTAATTTTCAGTAAAGCTGAGGTTCACTTTTAGGCTTGGCACCGGCCCTATTACAGGCCCTGGAGACCCTTAATAACAGTGTGGTAGAGTGGGAAGCAGTGTATAAAGGATCTTGCTAACCAAAGAAAAATCCAATAGTTCTTTCCAGAATATTCCAAGAATATTCAGCCTCAGAACCCAGACTGATTGCTTAGGCGACTCTCGGTTTGGCCCAACGGCCATCACACAAGTGGCTTAGCTCCCAAGTGTGCCCAACTCTGGAGGCAATGATGTGGAGGGTCAGGGTTTCCCTCAGCGCCTGCAGTGTGGCCAAGACGTGAGCTACCCTGTGTGGACTCAGGTCCCGTGTAGATAAGTATATAAATTATAAGGTTAGGTTATTTATTTATACATGTATAATTTAAATACTGGGTGCAGTAGGTAGAATAATGCCCCCCCAAAGATGTCCATGTCCTAATCCCCAGAACCATGAACTTTGCCGATGTAATTAAGTTAAAAGAGGAAGAGGATTCTGGATTATCCAGGTGGGCCCACTGTAATCCCAGGGATCCTTATGAGGGAGGCAGGCAGGTGAGTCAGAGATGGGGCCGCGGGTGGGAGTGTCGCTGGGCCTCAGAGCCAAGGAACACAGGCAGCCTCTGGACGCTGGAAAAGACAAGGAAACAAGGTCTCCCCTGGAGCCTCCGGAAGGAACGCCACACTGCGCACCAAGACCGAGGACTTTGACCTCCAGAAACGTAAGAGAACACATCTGTGTTTTTTTCAGCCGCCCTGTTTGTGGCAAGTTGCTACAGCAGCAATAGAAAACTAATACATACGCTGTCAATTCAGAAAAAGGAAGAGATACAGGGTCTAGAACAGTTTTTCCCAAATTGCGGGTCAGAGCCCATTCGTGGTTGTGAAAATCAATTTCATAAGTCATGATTGGCATTTGAAAAACTGAAACAAGAAAAGAACATTTGGCATAGCAGTAAGAGGGCGTCACGATACCTAGGGTTCGGATATACGTGGGGGTGTGTTCGGGGTCACAGTATACATCACTGTGGGGCACGACCAGAACCTGGAAAGGGGCGCCTGGGTGGCACAGTCGGTTAAGCGTCTGCCTTTGGCTCGGGTCATAGTCCCCGGGTCCTGGGATCGAGCCCCACATCGGGCTCCCTGCTCGGTGGGGAGCCTGCTTCCCCCTCTCCCGTTCCCCCTGCTTGTGCGCGCTCTCTCTCTCTCTCTCTCTCTCACAAAAAAAGAAAGTTGGAAAGCCACCACCGTTACTTCATTCACCTGGGGGATCCCAGGAAAGGCGCCATAGCCACACCTTTGACGCACTACCTGAGAATAGCTACTGGACCCCGCACCGAGGAACGCAACTGATAGGCGTTAACTACTCACAACAACCCTACAGGGTTGAAACCTACTGTCACATTTTAAAGATGACAAAACAAGTCCGGGGTGGGGGTGGGGGGGTTGGGCTGGCTGGCTGAGTCCGTGGAGCAAGCGACTCTTGCACTTGGGATTGTGCGTTGGAGCCCCACGCAAGGCGGAGAGCGCCCGCGGTAACCGCTAAGCACGCCCCCTGCTGGGCGAGGGCCGGGAGTGGAGATGCCTGGTGAGCAAGCCCAGGTGAGTCAGCCCAGGCTCAGGGGCAGGGTGAGGTGACGGAAACGGACAGGAGGGGACCCTTCCAACTATACCTTGGGGGGTTTCGCTGTAGTGTCCAATCAAACTGATACAAAACCATGTGGCTTGGAAGGGGGTGTGTAACAGGTGCCGCCCCCATCCCGGCCCGGGGATATGAGATGCTAAGCATGTTCTGGGCCTCCTGGGCTTTGTCCACCTCACACCTCCCGCCCACCCCCCGCCTGGTTAAGGAGACACAGGGGTTTCTCCTCCTCCTCCTCACAGGGATCAGGTGGCAATCCCTTTATCTCAGGGAGAGTGACCCATGGTCCCCATGTCGAGGTGGGCACACGCTGAGACACAAGGAGATCAGACTGGGTGTTTCGGGAAAGGTTTTCCTCCCTGGTCTCCCTCCCCACTGCCGGGGCCAGCCCACCACGTCCAGAGTCCAGATGTCTGGAGCTAGGCTGCCCTCTTGTGACCAGGAGGCAGCAAGGCCAGTGCAGCCAGGAGGTAGGAACAGAAAGCCGGAAAGAACCTTGAGGACCTGAGGATATTGCACCAGCCCCCAAACGACTGCCCTCCAGCAAGTCAGCCAACCCGGAAGTCAGCCTGGGTGTGTAGCTGTGTTTCTTGGAAACCTGAGAAGGGGGGAGTGCAACATCTTCACCCCAGGGCCTGGGGAGGAGGAATCCTCAGGCGTTCCTATTTGTCAGGGTGCTTATAGCAATGGGTAACAAAGTTTCAACTCAAGCCAGCTGAAGAAGTCAAGTCTTTGGCTCACTGGTCCAGAAACCTCTGGAATCAGGTCCGGCTGGAGCTGACCAGTTAGAGTTTGACCAGGGTGCTGGTCATGTCTCTGGGATTTTCTCCACGGCTAGATGGGAGGGCTGGTGACAGCCCCGCAGTGTCTCCTGGAGCCAGGAAGGCTGGTAGTCCCACAAGCTGCAGCTGAAGCTCGCTCGCTCCTAGAGGAGCTGCCATGTTCGGACACATGTCCTCCTCTCCACCACCCCGCGGAGGAAGAACTCAGTGTAACAGGACCCGGAATGGGTGAGCGCAGGGTCCTGCTGGGAGTCCAGCAGACACCTGCAGTGGGGGTTGTAGACACAGTGAGCTAAGAGACACGTACTGCAGGATAAACTGAAGTTGGCCAGGTGGGGACAGGGTGGGAACAGTGTTCCAGGCAGAAAGAACAGCATGTGTCACAGCCCCGAGACCGGTCAGGGTGGGAGTCTGGCCCCAGACCTTCTGAGTCCGGGAGGGCCCCGCACCCCATCTGCTGCCGGTGGCCTGGCTGACCCTGGAAGAGAGGACTCCTGGGGAGGGGTTTGACCGGCTGAGAGGGCAAGGCAGGGTCTTCACCAGGGTCTCCCCCATCTGCCCCGCCACCTGGCCACATCTCCACTGATGAGGCAGAGGCTGACAGAAAGACCCCCGGGGACCACTTGGCCCAGGATCCAAAATCACGTGGCTGCAAGGCCACCAGGCAACTTAAAAGCGAGAAGTGGACCGCAGCGGAATCAAAGGGCAGGGAGTCCTCATGGAGAGAACGAGCGGGGCCAGCCAGAGTCGCTGCGAGAGGCTAGCGGGCAGCCCTGCCCCCCGCGCGTTTTGCAGCGAGGGCGGGAGGGCAGCCTCGCCTCGCCTTCCTGCCCACAGCCGGTTCCGGGCCTGCACTGTTTTTGCGCCCTGAGGGTATCAGCTCGCGGAGGAAGGATGGAGAGGGCGCTCTCTCGGCGGCGGGGACGTGCGCGCCCCGCCCAGCTGCTGCTCAGCCTGGGCGCCTCTCGGAGCCTCAGTTTCCCCACGCGTAAAGTTACCAGGGGTGGTCGCGGCTGATTTCTGGGCGCCTGGGCTCCGCGCAGCCCCCACCCCGGCTGGGTGGGCGGGGCCTGGGATCTCGCGGCCGCCGCCACCCGGGTCGCCGCCCCCGTCCCCGCGGGGCTGAGGCTGGGAGGCCCCGCCCCCCGCCCACGAGGAAGTGGCTGCGGCGCCGCGCGGGGCCCAGAGCCGGTTCGGCGCGTCGACTGCCCAGAGTCCGCGGCCGGGGTGCCCCGAGGTGAGGGGGCTGGGGGACCCTCCGGAGGGGAGGGGGCGCCCGGAGGGGAGGGGGCGGAGAGTTGCATGCAGGTGAGGAGGGTGCGGGACGCCCGCAGACGTGGGGGCGCGGGGAGAGGGTGCCTGGGTGAAGGGACACAGGGCTGGGGGCTTGCCAGGTGTGTGGGGTCGCCTGGAGGTGAGGGGACCAGGGGATGGCGGGCCGGGCCCGGGGTGGGTGGGCTGCCCCCTCCGGGCGAAGGAAATGCAGGGCTCCCTGCCCCCGGCGCCCTCGGGGCCCCGCCCCCGTCGCCCCGGCCTACCCTTTCCTGACCCTGCCCCGCGATCGGTGCCCCCCGCTATTTCGGGCCGCGAGGGCCCCACGCCCAGTCACTTCCCCTCCCATCTTCCAGCCTTCCGGGTTGCTACGGCCGGGAAATGAGCTGGCGCCCCCGCCCACCTTGCCCCTCCCTACCCCCCCCGCCACTCCCCCCCCCCCGCCCCCCCCCTGCCCCTGGGGCCCGGGTCCGCGGTCCTCACCGGGAGGGGGTCCCGGACGCCGGACTGAGCGGCCCCTCCTTGGCCGGCGGTGGGAGAGCAGCGGGCCGGCCCTGGGCGGTGACAGTAACACTAAGAAGCCCCGTAGCCAGCCTAGCGCGGGGACGGAGCCGGAGGCTCTCCCGGGGTTCTTCCAGGCTGTCCCCGGACTCCTCGCGCCTGGCAGGCGGCGCTGCCCAGTGGTTAAGGACACCCGTTCCCCGGGACCGGGGTAAGAGTGCCAGCTTCCATCACTGGCTGATGACCTTAGCAAGCCACCTAACTTCCCTGGACCTCAACCTATCTTATCTGTAAAATGGGGACGTCCTGAGGTTTCCATGGGATAATGTGTGGAAGCACACACAGTACAGGTGTGTGCTCTTACTGTTGCCACTACCAGTATAAGGCCTGCCCACATTTATCAAAGTGTCTGGATGGTGCCAACCTCTGAGATTTGGGGTCAGAATCCCAAACGGGGCCATGGAGGAGCTGTGTGGCTTTGAGCAAATCTTGGCTTTTTGTCTGAGTCTGTTTCCTTCTGTACAAAATGAAGGTTTAAAGAAAAAAAACCCACAAAACTTTTTAGGCTTGCCTTCAAGAGTCTTGGGTAAAAATACTGGGCATTTAAAGATGCCGATAAAGGTAGTTTATGTGTGTCTCTGTGCATACATCCTCTCAAATAGTTAAATGGTATCCCAACATGTTAGTGTCAGAATTTACTCTTGCCATATTTGTAGTCCTCTGGATTTTTCCACCCTTCCACCATTCTAAAGGGGGCTTATTAGGAACATGTTTGCTTTAAAAAAAAAAGTGGTTATTTTCTTAGCACCAGAATGAATTTATGCCACCAAAGTGTTAATTTTTAAGTTCCTGTTGGTGTTATTCTGCTTGTTCCGACCCAGTTGTTGAATTGTTATTGCGCTGCTCTTCAGAAAGGCTAAACAAATTAGCATCAAATGAGAGTTTCTCCACAACCCTGCCAACATTGAGTTTTATGTGTTTTTGGAGTTTGTTTTGTTTGGATTGCTTTATTAGTAAGCTTTAATGGTGCCATTCTATGATTGTTTTCATTTATGTTTCTTGACTTGATTTTTGCCTGGTTTAGAAGACTTCGGGAGCAGACCTGGGGAGGAGGTATTAGCTGGTCTGTCTGGGGTGGCAAGGGCTACTCCATCCACAACAGGAAGTTGAGTAACTGCTTAGCACGTGTGCAAAATGGCTTGCTGGCAGCTCCCTGGAGCTTCTGAGCTGGGTGGGGACTTCCCTGAGTGCCTGTAGGGCCAGGATCTTGCTCCAGACTGCTCCTGCCTGGCTTAGTCTCAGATACAGCCAAACCTCTGGCTTCAGAGGAGCTTGGCCAAGCTTCTCTGAAAGCAATAAGGAACCTACAGCCGGTACCTTGTTGAGTCCCAACCTTTTCTGACCGAGATGTGAAGGAAGCATTAGCTGAGGGCATCCAGCCAGTATGGAGAGAGTCAGAATTTGACCCCAGCACTGTAAAAGGAAGGAGCGCTGAGCCAGGCTTCACCTGGCTTGCTCTGCTTTGGACGGGAGCTGAGTTCTTCCCAAATGCTCAGAGAGGACCTTCTAGATTTCAGGTTTCCAACCTTTGCTAATCATTGACCCTAATCAGGAAGGAAAAAAAAAAAAAAAAAACCAACTGAGCACATACTCCCCAGTAAATATGGACAAATTGCATACATAGGCCACTGAGATAATAAAACATATTCATTTCTTGTAGCCCCTCTCCTAAAGAGGATGGGATTCCTGCAACCACATTTAAGAAATATTATTGAGCACCTATTATGTGCCAGGCACTCTAGTTGGTGGGTGGACAAAGCACATACCCTGCCCCTAGGGCGCTTACCTCCTCCATATCCCAGTGTGGGGTCTCTGGCACCCCCTGGAGGGAAACCCACTCCCTACTTTGGAGACCCAAACTCCCTCCCAGACCTCAGGCCACCCTTCCCTGTGCTCTCCCAGCCCCAGCCCTGGGTGATCTCCAGCCCATTCATACTGAGTGCTCATTGTGTGCTGGAAGGATGCAGGGGAAGGGCTCCTGGGAACACGGAGATCCTGGCTTTAGGCTGGCAGAGGGGAGCCAGCCAGGGGAGGCTCCGCATTTGGCCCACACTCCCCCAGCCTCTGTTTCTGGGGTAATGAGGCACAGATCACTGCACATGGACTCCTAGTCCCAATACTGTCCCCAGAGCCCCTTCCTCCCTCCCTCTGACCCCAACAGTCCAGTGGTCCCACGGTGCTGGCTCACAGAGGCACAGTGACAAGTGGGTGGGTGTTCGGAGGCCATGGCCTCAGCCTGACTTTGTGTCCCCCCCCGGGAGCCATTGCTGAGGCACTGTGTTGTCGACACCCTTGGGCAAAGCAACTCTAGTTGGTATTCTTTAGGGTGACTGGTTGGCGGTGGATCCTAGCCCAGGTCCTGTGGAGGTTTTCCTGGGAACGATGACGTCAGAGTTCCCGTGGCAGGGTGGCCAGTCTGACCGCCGAGAACAATCCACTGATTCTCCTCTAGGAGGATGTAGCCCTGAGGCGACAGTGGCCAGAGAAGCTACTTCCCTGTCTGGGTTACCACTTCCTCATTGCTAACTTGGGGGCTGGGAGTCATTGCGGAGGCCCTGCTGGTTTTACTTGCGTTGCAGAAGTTATGAAAACGGGAAAATGCACCTCTTCCCTCCCACCCCCTTCCCCCAGATCTACCCCCCCAGCCCCTTTAAGGTGTTAGTTAATGCAGCATACTATGAGTATTTCTGTCCGAATTCATGCTGAAGTGTGATTGGCTGATAGATGTGGTCTGAGCCTCCCCCCAGCCTGTCCCACTGTGCCTGTAGTCATGTTTATCAGCCCCTTCCTCTCCCACTTGAGGACCTTTGTTTGGGTCCCAGGGAACAATGGTCAGGGCTCCCCAAGTCCTCTTGGCTGTGTTACTAGTATGAGAGCTGCTGTCTTCAGCATCACTCACAGCCTGGAACTCTGGAACATCATGCTAGACAGGCTTTTGCAGCCTGGCCCCCCGGGTGTAGATGCTCTTGCCAAGACCCTGCAAGAGGCAGGGACGCCCAGTCACACGGTCTGGGACAGTTGGAGCTGGGAAGTTGCATTCTGCAGACCAGCGGTGGGCCCAGAGACCCTCAGGGCTGTAGCCCCGGGGCTTCTTCCTTCTGGGCCACCAGGGGCTGAAGGGGTGGTGGGGGGATTGGCCTCCACAGCGGCCAACAAGCACCTGGCTGGGCCCCACTGGCGACCTCGGAAAATGGGGGTGGACAGATTAGCATAGATATGCCTAGTCCTCCCACTGCTTAGGCTTGTCGTCTGCAGTGTGGATGGTGATGAAGTGCTCCCGCCAAGCTGGATGCCCATGCTGACCCCGCCCAGCGGCACCAGAAGGGCTGGGGGAAGTCCCCATCAGGCCTGCTGACCTGAGCTGAGGGCCCCAAAGCGCCACTTCCGGGGCCTTTGCCTTCCACAGAGAGGCCTTATAAGGAGAGGCTGGGGAAGAGCCATGTGGGAGCAATGTGCTTGTATGTGCATGTGCAAGGCTAGAGACGTGTGAGCGTGCATGGCTGGACACTTGTGAGCATATGGGAGCAGTGTGCTTGTGTGTGTGTGCAAGGCTGAACACATGTGAGCGTGCAAGGCTGGACGCTTGTGAGCATGTGGGAGCAGTGTGCTTGTGTGTGCGTGTGCAAGACTGGACACGTGGGAGCATGCAAGGCTGAACACTGGGTGCAAGACTGAACATGTGTGAGCGTATGGTAGCAGTGTGCTTGTGTGTGTGCGTGCAAGGTTGAACATGCATGAGCGTGTGTGGCCTGAGCAGGTGTATCAGCTTTCTCTTCCTCAGCAGCGTTGATCGAGAACCCACTTGGTGCCCTGCTCCAGGCATGTCCCTACCCGGTCCCTGCATGTGTGTGTGTCCGTGAGACCTGGGCTGCCCCAGGCACCTTCCAGAGCTTCCTGCTACAAATAAAAACAGGTTTTGCATCTGGGGAGTGCAGAAGGAGCAGGGCCCACAAGGTGGTGAGCTGGGGGTCAGGAAGCCAGGCCCGGCAGGATTTGTGGTGCCGCCATGGGCAGCCCAGTCACTGAGCCCTCAATTTCCTGGGGGACAGTGGGCTACATGCAGCCCGTCTGTCTCTAGCGGCTGGGCCCCAACTCCATGCTGTGCCTTCCAGCAGGGCCTCTGGGTCAGCCACGTGGGTAAGCTCAGCCTGAACAGGTGGCCATTCTCCTGAGGGGCCTGATAGGTGCCCACTAGTTTCCTGGGGTGTTCAGGGCTCAGGCCCAGAGCTGGGGAGAAGCCTTCCTTTAGCCCAGTCCATGGGCTGCAAACCTGCCAACAGGTTCCTGGTGACACCTGCCAGGTGTGACTGGGCAGGTAGCTTCCCCTCGCTGAACCTCAACCTCTCCGTCCGTCATCTGGGGCTGTGGCATCTGAACACTAAATTCAAGAACACCTGGGGTGGGGGGATGGGTGAAACAGGTGAAGGGGACTAAGAGCACACTTATCTTGATGAGCGCTGAGTAACGTATAGAATTGAGTCACTATGCTCTACATCTGAAACTAAGAGAACACTGTGTGAACGCTACTGGAATTAAAAAAAAAAAAATGCCTGGACTGCTTAGAGCTAGCAAGTAAGGAGCATTCAGGAAATGTTGGGTGGTGGTGGTTTTTTGGTTTTGGGTTTTTTTTTTTTTTTT